CTTCTTTTTTCAAAGAAATACTAGTAGACTTTTTCAAAAAACTAAACATGAGTTTTGTTTCCTTCTATGTTACAGTTTGCCGCTTTCCTAATTATCTATAGCCTTGGATGGTTGCTGTCGGTATGTTCTGTTTCAGTCTTAAGGCAATTTCTATTCGAGATTGCATTTTTTTGCCTTACTTCACCCTGTAATTGGTTCAGAAATCTCGCGCAACTAACCAATCAGATGCAAAATCAAAACCAATCTTGACGTAGCCGTCTGCGTTTTCCCGCGATTTTCTTTTTCAATCTAAATTCCCGTTGGTTCAGGTAACTTCCTTCCTTCTGATTGGCAGCCGTAAATTACTTTGGATTTGGTTTTGCTGAACTCGATCAAAATGAACTCTATTCTTTTGTTCAATCAACTTCTCACTCTAAATTGACGGTAGCCTGGGTCCTACCTCATGTCCTCCTTTCTTTTCCTAAGATCTACTTCATTGTTGTGGTTTATTCGTTCATCGAAGCCCTTGGTGAAGATCCATCGGGAACGAGTGCAGGATTTTCTCCCCCTCTGACAGGAGGAAATCAAACTCAGATGGTAATTACATTTCCATTGTTTAATGCTACACGACCATCGCCTCGTTGAGAAATTGTTTTGTTACTGAACAATGCAAGCACGTAAGAGGTCTGTTAGGGTACTGCTTGGGAACCTCTTGCACTCTCACATCGTTCGCGCACGCCGGCTCGGAACGCGTGGGCCTCGCCTCTCGTGTCATGCTGCCGATGAGCCGGCGGGCAAGTTAACCACGGAGAAGATAAATGTATCAGATTTTCAACCAAGAGTCATTCCTTTTCCTTACCTTTTCATTTTCGTTTCTTATCAGAATATGATTAAGCGTGCCAAGTTATAATAATTTATGAAAGTGTTTTTTTTTTCATAATTTCACAGGCTGGTGGACTCCCTCCATACGCTGTATCTCAGAAAGGAACTGTGTAAACTTAGCACAAAAATGTGACTGACTTAAGTGACTACTGATCATTGTTTTAATTTGTAATTTTTTTGAAAGGCCAACTAAAGTGAACTGAGCTTCAATATAGAGATTTTTTTTTTTCTGATCGGTAGGGGGTGGAACTAAGGTGCCAGTCATTATCTTTCACCTGTGGGGAGGGGTTGTGTCATAATGAAACTCAATTGGTAGAGCGCTGCAGTAGTATCGCAGAGGTCAGTGGTTCGAATCCCGTACAGGCCTGAAATTTTTTTCAGGTCTGATTTTCACTATTGCTCAAATAGTGCTTTACTGCGAAGGATCGTTCTCATATACGTTACCTGATAATGGTTAACCTCATTGGGACCCACTGTAATCCATATGATCCTGGATATGGCTCTGTAGTATTCTGATGAGATCCCCTCATTGGCAGTCAATTTTCTATGCCCCTTCCCCCCTTAGACTGTTTGCGACGAACGATCCCCCCTCAGTTCTCCCCTAAAAAGAGGGTATCAATCATGTCAATGAGGTGACCGATGGTATTTACGGCCAACGGTTAAAATTTTGGCCAATTTAAGGCTAACAGTTGATAATTTTCCATTGTGGTCACCAGACAAAATTTTTACGGTTAATCTTTTTAGAACGACCGGTTAAAATTTGTCATTTCTGCGTATAATATACCGGTTAACCCCATTGAAACTCTCTAAAAACCACCATCCCCTCTTTCTCCCTTTCCTGGGCTATAAACAATGACTGGTCTCTAGTGCCTTTGCGGGCATTTATATCTTCAGGAGTTGATATTAAAATGATAGTCGAAACAAGTTGGCTGACGTAATATTGATTTTAAAGTTAAAGTAATATTCAGCCTCTAATATGTCGTGATATGATAATATTACGCGCTGCGCGCTGATTCAAATTTAAAATATCCTCTATTGTTAGCTGGGTTCCCTGTTTTGTTTTCCCGTCTTTTTTGATCACATGACCTCAGTCGCTCGGGAATGTTCTGTGTACCGACATCGTTTTGGTCAACTGCTTGGTAGTTGCGTTGTATTTTGTATATTTCCTTTAGTTTTGGGCATTCACTCGAGGCGAGGTTAGAGAAGTACTTTAGAAAACCATTAAAAAGGAATTGGGTCATTACACATCATTTTTGACCACTTTACACTCCTCTTATTCTATCAGTTACCTTTATTTTCTACATTAATTTTATTTGAAATCACCAGTGATCTAAGAAATCTGCCGGATTTGCTCTGAACTATGCGATTTATCCACGAATCGCTTTTTTTTTTCTTGCTTTAGTTCAGAATCAATTACAATGATTCTTGATAGGTTTCCAAAGACTTTCATTCGGTTAATCAGCAAGGTTGTAAGCATTCCAATGATTATTTATGGCTCAGCTTAACCAGTGAATAAAAAAAACCTGGTAGTTTCTGGGAAAGAAAAATGTCAACTTTAAGTCAAGATCAAGATATTTGTGTCTTTCATTTGCGAACAAACTGAACGTGATAGCGGGTTTTTTTTTCCTTGCCTCCGTCAGACGTCCTTTGAGGCAAAGCGCTGTGATTAACATATCAATGAAGAGTACTTTTACTTTCCATAGTATACGTGCACAAAGTAATGAATGAAATCTATCGAAGCATTAAACAGGAAGATAAACAGCTGCTTTTCGTGTTTTAGACGTTTCCGTGTTGTCGATAAATTACAATTTACCGTTAATAATAAATGTGCAATTCTCATGGTTTTCACCGCCATGTTAATCTTAAATTCAGTTTTATCTGGTTCTACGAATGGAAGGAGTTATAAAATTACTTGCTTTGAGGCATGCGTATACAATAACACGGGATAATTTATAACGGCACCACGTTCTTTCCCTTCCGCATATTAGTTTCCAGTAAAGACTGTAAATTTTTCCACCGTACACGTGACGTTTAATGAACTGAAAGTTAAAATTTAAAAATCAGTTCTTCTCTAACAACTACAATTTTCATTTTTTTTGTCTTCGTAGACTTAACCTTTTAACCAATCACCAGAAGTGATTAAAACTTGCTAGTCAATGCATTGTCAACAAGATGGGAAATGAGAAAATACAAATTGATCGACGAGATTAAATTCTGTCAGTGTCGATAGGAAACAAATTCTCACCACCAGGATGCACGGAAAATTACTAAAAGGAATTTTTAAACAGATCTCAAAAGTAAGAGGTTTAAAATCATCCAGCCGTCGCACTTGAACCAGTTTAACGGAGCTTGACGTTCAGAAGTATATTTTTGACTTTTCATCTACAATGGCAGTTTTGGTAAGAACTTGTTGCTGTGGCTGCAGTCTTCGTGCGGGTGTTATGATTCTCGCAATCTTGGGACTGGTGAGTTCTAGCCGTTATTAATCCTATAAATTTCGGACACACTCTCCTTTTCAAACCCAAATACTTCTTGATTTAACGATTTTCGCGATTACGCTAGCTGAGAGCGCGAACCTTGAGTCGCGCAGAAAATAACTTCAGCGCAGTAAGACTGGAACGTGTACCTCTTCGATATATGTTGAGTGCTACCCACCGACTAGAAACCTCATGATTGGAGCGAGGCAAAGTTATTCGGGTTCTTCGTTCTGTAAAGGAATCTGATCATAATCTAAGAAGAGAAATCGTATTTTGACCAGCGAATATTATTCATGTAAAGAAAAGATTATCTTAAGTGAGCTTCAACTGAAGAAACTGAAACCACGAAAAGAATACCTCGTGGTTGGTATGACGCGACCTTTCGTCTTCCTCACAAGAGTCATCAGAGAAACACGTTGTAAACAGCACATACTGACGTCACTAAGGGGACAGTAACTCGATAAGTGATCTGTAGGAGCATATTTTGGAGTGAATTTGAAGGCAAAGATTACCACTTTATCCCTTAATAACTTGGGAAAAGTTTACGTGATTTACATATGACGTTTTATCTTCCTGTTTTTATTTTGTATTCCTTTTTCCGGGGTAGCTTAGAGATTACAAACAATGATTTAGAACATTCATCGCGATACAAACACTGTCTCTGGTTATCCTTATCACTGAAGAAAGATGTAGCGTTTAGAAAATCTGCCTAAAATGTTTAATTTGAGTATGACTCATGTAAGTGGTCAAAAAAATTAACTAGAAAAATGAAAAAATAAGGAATATCGATTGAAGAATATCGACTGGAAAACATGAGCACCGGAGCAAGGACGTTTTAGCAAGTACAGTGATTCAGCAATATCATTTTCAGTTCTGGATCTTTCTTTCATTCAATAACGAGGGGGGAGGGCGAGGGGGAATGGGGATG